TGTGTGTGTGGATGGGTAAATGCAGAGCACTAATTCCGAGTATGGGTCACCATACTTGGCCACATGTCACATGTCACTTCACTTATTTCTGCTTTAACTTTTATTTCATGCATTATTAATATTAAAGTGTATTATTCAGTCATTTACTCCGTTTACTGTTTTACTAATTTACTGAAGTGGAATTGTTAGTTTACAAAAAATGATAGAGATGTGATGATAATTTTGGTGGATGATTTAAAAAAAAGCATTCATTAATCACCTGAAGGTAGGGTATTCATCATGTCATTGTGAGTGTTATTGTTATTAATATTATTTTCTAAAATAAGGTACATATAAGTACATATGTGCTAAAGATGTTCCTGCGACAGCTCCAGCTCTCCGATTCGCTCACTTCACTCTTTTCTGATATTTACATTTACATTTAGTCATTTAGCAGATGCTTTTATCCAAAGCGACTTACAAATGAGGACAATAAAAGCAGTCAAAACTAACAAAAGAGCAACAATATATAAGTGCAAATGACAAGTCTCGAATATATCTTGATAAAGATATAAGACAAGTCTTGATATATATATATACTACCTAGGGATACATGATGTAGTGATATAGTGCACTACATAGGGATCAGTGAACGAGTGAGTGATTTCGGACACAGCTAACGTCTGACGTGTTTACAATTTACGTGGCGTGGGAATGTGAAAAAGCTGTATAAAATCCGAGCGATCTGAGCGGTCAGACTGAAACGGATTTCCAGAAACGCGTTTTCAATGGAATTTCAAACCACATATGAATGTAGCTTGAAACAGATTTGTAAAAATCGGTTCACACTTGCTAAATATGATCAGATTCCAATCGGACATGCACAAAAATCGGATTTGGACTGACAGTCTGCAGCACTAGATGTACCTTAATCTCCCAGCAGACGTCACTCTCCTCCTCATCCGTGGAATGGATGTAGAAGTAGACGATGTTCTTCTGAACTCCTTTGATGATCTCCACCAGATTACTGATCACTTCGGGCTGCAGCTGATCGATGATACTGCTGATGGCAGAATGAGTGTGTCCCATCGAGGCGCCCGTTTGACCCTCCACAGCTCCCGTAGTCTCAGCAACCAGACTCCCATTCATCTCATCATGAGGGATGTTGGCTTCCCGTGTCTTCTGGGTCACCGAGTCCTGCTCCAGTGCCCACATCTGATGCTGGAGATCAGGGTCAGGTAAGCTTGAGTGATGTTGTGGCGGAGGCATTGGCTCAGGCAGGGCACTAGAAGGGGAACATGGTCTCAGAGCTGATTCAAAGGTGCTGCTGGGTTTAGAGGTTGAAGACGAGGAAGCACACGGATTAAAGCTGGAGGACGTATCAGGGACATCTGAAGGAACTTCTGCAGCAGACGAGGAGGAAGTCACATCTTCCTGAGCTCCGAGGTATCGACTGACATGCTGAGGGTCTATGAACATCATCAGGCTGTCGTGGAAAGAGCTGATGTAGTTACTGATGGGAAACGGAGTGTTGTAGTTTGACACGTAATTGGAAAGTGGCACAGCTGGAGTCTGGAGCGGTTCTCGTGAGCCCTGAGTGCTGGAGCAAGAAAAATAATGAATACGTTTGGCCCTCAAGAGCTGCTCCACCTCACTGGAGAAGCCAGAGACGAGCTCATCGACTATGTGGTCAAAGCTGCTGCTGTCTGCAGGACACTCTGTGTTCAGAGCCGGAGCGACGGGCTCTTCATCCTCAACCTCTGCTGCCGTCTGCACATCCAGATCCACCGCTGTGCTGCTGCTGTCTGGCTGGTAGGGAGGGGACAGGTCCTTTGTGTCAGGCATGGTGTGTATAGACACGGTTGGGCTCTGAACGAAGCGTGGATCTTCAGGATAGTCCATCCGTCTCTGGGAATATCTCTCCGTTTTCAGACCTAAGCAAGCAATTGAGAAAATCCAGATTCTTTAAAGTATATCATATTCTTTTATACACTACAAACAACTATAAACGACTTACATGAAATGAAAAACAAATTTACTGAGGTTTACTTTTTACAATTTTTTTAACATGAGGACAATCTTGGTGCAGTGCTCATTCTCCGGAAACTGTTATGTGTGTCCCCATGTTGCATTACATATATAATAAACACGTATAACAGAATACTGAACTTAAATTAGTGTTCAACTCGCCAAATTAAGGCAACTCTGATTTCCAGAGATCACAAATTAAGACTCCCTCCAATTCTCCATCAAATGTGTTAATGCAGCTTCCAAATTCAAAATGCTGAGTTTCTCTTTACAGTCTTTTAGTATTTCATTATGGTAGAACTTGTATAGACTTTAGATTAGGGAATACAGATCAAATTCACTATTAACTAAGATTTTTCCCTCAATAAACTCTTAATTTGCTGCTTATTGATAGTAAGGTAGTTGTTGTAGTAGTTAAGTTTAGGTAAGGAGTCAGGTTAAGGGATCTAGAATATGGTCATGCAGAATAAGGCATTAATATGGCTTTATAAACAGTCAATATGCTAGTAATATGCATGCTAATAAGAAAAAAAAATTATATATATATTTTTTGGCAGTTATTTGCTGATATTGACGTGCAAGGTCATTATTAGACATTTTGCATTGCTCTTGTTCTTCACATCATGCTAAGTGAGTTTACCTGTGATGGGTATCAGGACCCATGGAATGGTCTTTTCTCCGAGCAGGTTAACGCCACGCTGCTGTCCTCCAGAATCTGAACAAGGGCTAAATGCTTCTAAACTACTCAAACTACCAGCGGTCTCCTCCTGAAATGGCAAAAACATCAAAACCACCACCAGGACTTTACAAACCAAATGACTGAAGAAATACAAACTATCAAAAAAGAAACAAAGAAACAATACATTTGGCTAGATGCAAAACTAGCAACTGTAAAGAGCAAACATCAGGTGCAGTCGTATTATTCTAGTATTCTAACTCATCTGCTCTGTTTTGTTCTGTAAATGCATTAAATTCAATTGCTGGTGAAGAAACAGAACAGCTTACTGCTCTACATTCACCAGCAGAACAACGGCTATGAAAGGAACAGCATGCTACTCGTATTATTCCTGCAGTACACCGAATGTATTCTGTGACGAGTACAGTATGTGGAATACTCGACGATCTGCTACATTTACCAAAACCAGAGCACACTGGGTGGAAGACTGTATCCCACAATGCAGTGGGCCTGAATCAGAACCTCTTCTTGACTCATTTGATCAGAGTGAAAACATAAAAATGAAAAAAGGTATTAATTAAAATGAGAAATTACTTTTGAGTTGTTTCTCAAAGTAAAATAATAATAACAGTAATAATAATTGAAAAACTCTTGTTCCTGTTCTGTCTCTGTGCATGTATCTACACATTTCCCTTACCAATAAAACCCCACTTGGTTCAAGATGTAGCGTTCCTTAACGTTCCAGGCTGTTCGTCTGTACATTAGTGGATATTAGTGGTTGACCGATATGGGTTTTTTGACCGCCGATGCCGATATCTTGGAAAGCAGGATGGCCGATATAATTTTATTTATTTTAATTAATGTTTAAGAAATTTGAAATAATTTGAAAATGGATTAAAAAGTAAATGTGTTAAATAAACATACTTATACTTTAGATGACAAAGTATTTTTCACAAATAAATATTTAATAAAAAATATAATTAAAAAAAGGAAGTCAACACTGTAACCAACAGGGCACTCAGTATTCTGGGAAGTTTGTGTGCATTGGGAATCATATTTTTTCAAATAAAGCCAAGGTAACACTCATGTTACATACAGCACACAGTGGAAATGACATGAATATGACAGTGGGCAAATGCATAAATCACAGCATAATTTGAAATCAGTCACGAGTTTAAAGTTTGTCGATCACGCGTCTCCAGTGAAGCAGAACTCTCCTCCTGTCCGTATTCAATTCACACGGACCGACCGTCACACAGAGAAGGTTCATGCAGGATACAAATGCACACTTCACAAGGTCTTCATAAGGTCCTAGATTCGACTAAGTCTGAAAGCTTTGTGAAATTAAATGTTCATTAATCATTCAAAGATTTGTTTAAATTATATAAATGCGTATTTGCTGAATGCTGATGGGAAATGAGAAAGTACTATAATGTTTGCCTTTCTATTACTAATAATATAAAAGCCGATATATCGGCCGACCACTATTGGATATTCCCCAAGTTACAGCATTATTACATAAAAGCAATATCACTTTTGCAAACGTACTTCTTGTTATATGTGACCCTGGACCACAAAACCAGTCATAAGGGTCAATTTTTCGAAATTGAGATTGATAAATAATCTGAAATCTGAATAAATAAGCTTTCCATTGATGTATGGTTTGTTAGGATAGCACAATATTTGGCCGAGATACAACTATTTGAAAATATGGAATCTGGAAAAAAATCCAAATATTGAGAAAATCGCCTTTAAAGTTGAAGTTCTTAGCAATGCATATTACTAATCAAAAATTAAGTTGAAATATTTACAGTAGGAAATTTACAAAATATCTTCATGCAACATGATCTTTACTTAATATCCTAATGATTTTTGGCATAAAAGAAAAATCAATCATTTTGACCCATACAATGTATTGTTGGCTATTGCTACAAATATACCCCAGCGACTTAACACTGCTTTTGTGCTTCAGGGTCACATATATGGAATAACAGAAGTGGAATCTTTCAGTATTTGCATCACTTCACTCGTCTGTTTATGTATTCCAGATTGTCAGTTGTGCATTAGTCACGTTTAGCCACTTCTATGGCTTTATGAGCACAGCGTGACTGATGATTTCAAGTTAAAGCACAAGACAATGTTTTTGTACAATTATGGCATTGAGTTTGAAGTTAACTAGATTTTAAAGTATCTCCTTGTCCTTGCAGACAGGCCAGTCTGAGGTTCAATCTGCAATCTGACCTGCTGAACTCTACTTTACTGAAGGCTGTCTGCGCTGGGGCGTTCTGTGCATAGTTTGTGTTCCTTGACAAAAGTTTTGCAAATGACTGTATATTTATTTTACAAGATATACTTTGTAAGACTTGTTTTCGATCATATATCAATGTATACAATTCCAAACATAGCCAGAGTGTGTGATTCAAGATAGTCATCTTTATATGATTTGTATCACACAAGTGTGTAATAGAGAAATGTATGAAGATATCTGAAGTCATAAAGTTATGATAACAGCTTTTTGCATTTGTTTAGTGCCACAACGTAACTTCTCGTCCCATCACCTGCATGAGATTCCCTTTCTGCTGCAAACGCTCACCCACCTTTCCTCTCTTCACCTGTGTCTTCTCTATGTAGTCTGTTGCACGCTTTTTCTGTGAAAATCAAGCACTTCAACTAACAGCTTTTCTCAAAACAACGGAAACTAGCCCCAAACTGACACTTTGGGAAAGCAGTTGACCTATCGGTAAGCCCCGCCCCCCCTTAGTTACCGTTGCTAACGGAGTTGCTTACTATGACAGCTGTCAGTGTGAAAACCTTGTCCCAAGATGTTTTTGATAAATTTTGGACACAGAAGGACCACCATTCAAATGGGACTTAAATATGCCATGGAGGGATATATAAAAGATTTTAGAATAAATATGGTGGGTAACAAGATTAATTTGGAAGTGAGGGTTTACAGATCTCAATGCAAGCGGGAGAAGCCAGAAGAATCCAGGGTAGGATTAAACTAATTTACATTTAACCAGTTTAATATGGAGAGGCACTGAAATGTAGACCTTTATTTAGGTGTTTTTGACCAAACATGTACATGACGTGAGAAGTATTTAGGTTGGTATATGGACACACTAACTTTAATGTTAGCTGGTTTTAGCCAGAGATACCTTGCTGAAGCACAAGATGACAATAACGTTCTGCTTGAGCAGATGAAAATTGTAACTTAATGAGAGTATGACACCCAGAAAATGAACGTTTTTGTCTTCATTGGGATTGGGGTTGAATGCTTAGGGACACGTTGCTCTGTTTTGTTTGGGTTTAGGAAATGTAATAAAATAAATTATATTGCCCATCCTCTCAGGAGACCTGGAATCAGTGTTATAAGTACCCCAAACACATCGTTTTGCCGTGTTTGTAGCATAATCACCATCAAACCGATGAAAGCTTCAGATCTTCCAATGTTTCTCTATGGCACTGAAACCTACAGATGTCCGAGTTCCGCTCCCCGTGTTGCTGATACTCGACTGCCATTGGCTCAGCTGCGTTCGAGGGGAGGGGCTTACCGATTGGGCGCTAACGCCAGTTCATCCGCCATTTTGAGAGAAGCGAGGTGAAAAGTTAATGCTGATTTTAAGCGTGTTAAACTGGCGTTTTGACTACATTTGGATAAAAATACCATCATTACACAACAGCAAGGATTTTGCAAGTATTGATAGTCTTTAAACATTGTTTTTTTGTCGAAGTTTAGTTCGAAATTATTATGCAATGAGACGTTTATTGACGCTAAGTGGATAACTGATTAATTTGACACACATTGGCAAACTTGAATGCTTAAATTAGTGTATATTTCTATAAAAAAGAATAGTCTGTAAACGTACAGTGGGTACGGAACGTATTTGCATTTGTTTAGTGCCACAACGTAACTTCTCGTCCCATCACCTGCATGAGATTCCCTTTCTGCTGCAAACGCTCACCCACCTTTCCTCTCTTCACCTGTGTCTTCTCTATGTAGTCTGTTGCACGCTTTTTCTGTGAAAATCAAGCACTTCAACTAACAGCTTTTCTCAAAACAACGGAAACTAGCCCCAAACTGACACTTTGGGAAAGCAGTTGACCTATCGGTAAGCCCCGCCCCCCCTTAGTTACCGTTGCTAACGGAGTTGCTTACTATGACAGCTGTCAGTGTGAAAACCTTGTCCCAAGATGTTTTTGATAAATTTTGGACACAGAAGGACCACCATTCAAATGGGACTTAAATATGCCATGGAGGGATATATAAAAGATTTTAGAATAAATATGGTGGGTAACAAGATTAATTTGGAAGTGAGGGTTTACAGATCTCAATGCAAGCGGGAGAAGCCAGAAGAATCCAGGGTAGGATTAAACTAATTTACATTTAACCAGTTTAATATGGAGAGGCACTGAAATGTAGACCTTTATTTAGGTGTTTTTGACCAAACATGTACATGACGTGAGAAGTATTTAGGTTGGTATATGGACACACTAACTTTAATGTTAGCTGGTTTTAGCCAGAGATACCTTGCTGAAGCACAAGATGACAATAACGTTCTGCTTGAGCAGATGAAAATTGTAACTTAATGAGAGTATGACACCCAGAAAATGAACGTTTTTGTCTTCATTGGGATTGGGGTTGAATGCTTAGGGACACGTTGCTCTGTTTTGTTTGGGTTTAGGAAATGTAATAAAATAAATTATATTGCCCATCCTCTCAGGAGACCTGGAATCAGTGTTATAAGTACCCCAAACACATCGTTTTGCCGTGTTTGTAGCATAATCACCATCAAACCGATGAAAGCTTCAGATCTTCCAATGTTTCTCTATGGCACTGAAACCTACAGATGTCCGAGTTCCGCTCCCCGTGTTGCTGATACTCGACTGCCATTGGCTCAGCTGCGTTCGAGGGGAGGGGCTTACCGATAGGTCAATTTGGTCAACATTAGAACATTAGACTAGCAGAATGGCATCTACTATTTCTTGAAAACCTCTCTCCCCAGACTCTATCCTTAAATTTCTACACTAACCTCTCCTTCAAAATATTCATGTCACAAACCTGTTGCATCAACGCTATGAAGCTATTTAAAGCCAAAGTAAATAAATTCGGTTCACATTTACACGCTCAAGTCATTCCAAACCGGTATGATTTTTTTTCTTCAGAGGAACAAAAAGGTTGAATTTTTGGAGAATCTTCTGGGCACTCTTTTTAAGAGTGCACTTCATAAATGGCTGATAAACCTTCGCCGAAAAACCAAATCTCTGGAATGGACTAACACTTGTCCAAACCACAAAAAATGGTGCACCAAGACCATTGGATTTCATGCATCTTGTGACCAAACACCAGTGCGGTCAACAGCTCCATATTTGATTTTCAGAGCTTCAAGTTTTCGAGTTTTAAAACTGTTCTGTTCGTCACATAAAATATATCTAAAAAAAAAAAAAAAAAAACTTTATTATGCATAAATTAGATTATTTCAGTCATTTTTGAAGCTTGACAGACTCTGGTCACTGTATGTTTTCATTAAGCACAAAAAAGCAGCATCAATATTGTTCTTAACATCCCAAGATCTTAATATCGCTCTCTAAGATATGATAAAAAGATATTGTCACATAGGTTTGGAATGACAACAGAATGTACATGTTCAAGTAATGCTTAATATTAGGGCTGCCCCTAACTAAAGTTTTTTCTAGTTGACTAATAATGGTTTATTTAATCTATTAGTCGACTAATCACACATTTATATTAATTTATTTACTTAAATATATACTAGGAAGGACTTTAATATTCTGAGCACAAGCACATAAAGCTTGCCACGAAGCACCAGCACAAGTAACGGCAATGATGACAAAGAAAGATTTTAATTATGCATTAATAAACTAGTGTTTTCTGAGTCAGTGTCGAGTGTTGTTTTCCCTTTGAATTGGTTCATTTAAAAGTGGACATTTCAAGTTTTCTATAGATCTATTTCTCATGTCTTTAAGGCAAGTAACCTATAAGCTGAGTTTGGGTTCATTTTTGTGACAAGGAGACCGAGACGGCAGAAAGCGTGTCCTGTTTGTTTTCGTTATTGTTGATATTGTGAGTGCACACAAGTAAAAGTAGACCCTTTACAGTTTCTAACGATGTATTACTCTCATCTGTATGACAGTGCATTTTAAGTTGTTTCCACTGTTGCTCGTGGCGGCGCCTCCATGTCATGTTATGTGGCTAATAGTGCACATTTATTTAACGTTAGAGGAAGCGGCCATGTAAAGTTGCTACTACTTATATATTTCAGTTTCAAATGATAAGCCATATTTGAGGTGTATGAATGATAGGCAAACGTTTGGATTTCCTGCCCGATATACTGTAATTACCACAAGGACCAGCCGTTAACCATCTGTCTGTCACAGACCACTTTTATTTATTTCTGCGACTAACCAACTAATAACATTTTTGCTGACTAAGCCTCTTCTCGTCAGCTATTTAGGAGGCAGCCCTACTAATGTCCAGTTTGTGAAGGTGTAAATGTAGTGTTGTTTGAGCACACTAATCTACCTCCAGACAGTCGGTCCTCTCGGGTTCATCCTCCACAAATCTCTTCCTCAAGTCAATGTCGCAGTCAGTTGGAAGGCCGAGTCTTACCATGCTGTCCAACAGAGCGGTGTCATCCTTCATCTCTGTGTCGTCAGGTGACTCTGCGGCGCTTCTGGTCATGTTGTCTATCAGCCTTATGACCTCCAGCGCCCCCTGGGTCTTGTCTCTGCGCAGGTCTGTGTCAAGACTCGTCCTTCCAAAGCCGTCCAGGATCTCCATGATCTTCAGCGCTCCCTGAGTTTTGTCCTTCCTCAGGTCTGTGTCCTGAAGGCTGACGCTGCTCAGAACATTGGCTAGAGATGGAGAGGACTGTCTCTCGTCCGCTGATGAAGAGAGGACACTAGATGATGTTACACAATTCAAACTCATCGTCAAAAGCAAGACTCAGTGCACTGAGAAACTTAGCTGTATCTTTATCTCCGGTCTATTTTTACAAGATTATCTTCATTATAATCACGGTTATTTTGCAAAAAAATATAATCACGTTTATTAATCTTGGTTATTGCCATTCAATTTTTTACATTTCATCAGAATTATTGTACCTCTACATAAGAAAACCAGAAGAGAAAGTCAATATGCATAGTTTGCAAAGATTTAGTCGCAGCAAACAGTGCAAACGACTGTGAAAGAAAACTGACTGGCTGTTCACAGAACGCATCTTTACGTCAAAAAATGCGAGAAGCAGCGCTCAGGAATGTTTTTTTTTTTTTTAAAGTGCCATGTAGAATGTCTCCTCCACCATGTTGCCATCAAATAAAACAGTTGCCATGACAACTTGCTACTGTAAACAGAAGCTTGCAACGCTTGCCCCGCCTCCGGGGTCTTCTGATTGGTCCACAGTTTTGGAACATTGATGAGCGGCGTTGTGTGTAAAAATCTAAATTCTTTTAACTTGACACAGCATCTTAAAACGCCGAGTGAGACGTTGCAAAAGAGATGCCAGCACAACAGTCATACCCATCCGTCTAGTAGTGCATGTTTTCATAGAAAGACAATGGAAAAGTTGCACACTGGAATGGAAAAACACATTCTGTGTGAACGGCCCCTTAAAGAGTTTTATTTGAGCAAAATATCTCAATAGAGATCACTAAACTCCAAATTACATACAATCTGGCATCCACAACGTTAAAAGCTTATAGAGGCTTGATACCATTTATACTTCATAAAGGGAAACAGAAATTGTGATCACGTTTAAAATACGATTAATCGTGCAGCCCTCAAGCTTCATTCTCCTTACCTTCTCTTAGTTCTTCATTGGGTTGATTTCTCTGGCGTTTTGAGCTTCCTTCATGAGCATCGAGATCCACCTTCCTCTTCAGTGTGTAGGTGTCCCCCGACGCCTCTGGATCTCCTGCCTTCCCCTTCGAGCTCTTCTTGTTCAGCTGGATGAGCTTCAGCAGCTCTTTAACTTTCACCGGGTCATTATGAGGGGCTGCTCTCTCAGTCTGAACATGGAGCTCCTCCACCTTCTTCTTCACGTTCTCCAGAAGCATAGTAAACATGGTCGGTTTGTAGATGTAGGGCCGCACGAAGCTCTCCCAGTTTGTCTTCTGCCTGGGTGCTGGAAAGAGCTTGTCCCTGACGTCCAGTTTGGGGTCGTAGTCAGTCCGGATGCGCTGCGGAGATTGGCCTTCACGAAGGTTAGTGAGGTAGTCGTAAACCTGCTGCTCTATGGTGGCGCTGAGGTCAGCAGGAGGGTCACCGCGAGCCTTGTTGAGGGCGTAGTGAAGAGCGGAGATGAACGAATCATGCTGGGGCATGATGGGACTGTGATGCTCTGATGACACAGGTCTGCAGCTCTCAGAAGGATTTGATGCTTTATAAAGACAAACGTTAGAGTTTCATTACTAAATAATAAAATTAAGATCAAAAATAATATTTGATTGGTGACTGAATCATGCAAATACAAAGACACAGATACTTCAAGCAAAGACAGCTTGATTCTGTATGATGTTGTGTTCTGAATGCCAGTCAGTTAAGATGAACACAAATCTTAAAAATCCATTTTGAAAACTTGCTGTTCTTCATTATTACTATTTCCTTGCATAGTCTCAAGCTATAGTCAGTTAGTTAAAGGGGTCATTTGATGCTTTTTTAAAGATCATTATTTTGTGTATTTGGTGTAACAGAATATGTTGACATGCTTTAATGTTCAAAAAACACATTATTTTTCAAATACTGTACATTATTGTAGGTCCTCTATGCCCCGCCTCTCTCAAACGCTTCGTTTTCTACAAAGTCCCTCCTTCCGACAAGCGCAGTCTGCTCTGATGAAAGGAAAACTTGAAATCGCATCATATGACCCCTTTAACTGGTTAACACTTTACTTAAAGCCTATTGCACTATAAAAGCAGTTTTAATGCATTAATTATGCCCTGTAATGCACTGTATGATCTCATGAATACCTGTAACCAATGTTCCCTCTAATTTTTCTTCTTGCTGAGCAAAACTTTTCTCTATTGGGCAGACATTTCAGCCACCTGAGCAAAAACATTCTTTATACCAAACCTGTACAGCGCACGCACAAAATAAATGTGTAACTTTTAACTTTAATGTGCTATTTGTAATTAATTTGACCCTTGACTAAATTATGTACATTTTAGGTTACCTGAAAAAGCTTTTATTTTTTTAACAGTATAATACACTGCCATTCAAAAGTTTGGGATCAATAATGTTTATTAAAGAAGTTTCTTATGCTCATCAAGGCTGTATCTATTTGATAAAAATACTGAATATTATTTCACAAAATAATATTGTGAAATATTATTGCAATATAAAATAAAAGTTTTCTATTTTAATATACTTTAAAATATAATTTATTCCTATGAAGCAAAGCTGTATTTTCAGCATCATTACTCCAGTCTTCAGTGATCCTTCAGAAATCATTCAAATATGCTGATTTATAATAAATGTTGGAAACAGCTGTGCTGCGTAATATTTTTTTGGGACCTGTGATATTTTTTCAGGATTCTTTGATATATAAAAAGTTAAAATTTGTATTTTGAATAAACACTTTCCTTTTTGTGTTACAATATACAGTACAATATACATATAAGTTTGTGGTCAGTAATTTTTTAAAGAAATTAATACTTTTATTCAGCAAGAATGTGTTAAATGGATATAAAGTGATAGTAAAGACTTACATTTTTAGAAAAGATTTCTATTTTGAATAAAAGCTGTTCTTTTAAACTTTTTATGAATCAAAGAATCAAAGAAAAAAGTATCACAGGTTCTAAAAAAAAAACTATTAAGCAGCACAACCGTTTCAACACTGATAATAAATCATCATATCAGAATGATTTCTGAAGGATCATATGACACTGAAGACTGGAAATGCTGAAATTTGCTGAAAGATGCTGAAAATACAGCTTTGCTTCACGGGAATAAATTATATTTTAAAGTATATTAAAATAGGAAACCAATATTATAAATTGCAATAATGTTTCACAATATTACTGTTTTTTTCTGTATTTTCGATCAAATAAATACATCCTTGATGAGCATAAGACTCCATTAAAAAAACAAGGTCAATTATTTATTAGGTTTATAATATAGGCCTAACATAATATAATATCAAAACAAACTGAAGCATTTAAACTGAGATCTGAAAGTTAATAATAATAAAAAAAACATGAATGTGAATTATTCTATAGCGATCTAAACATCCCTATGAAGTACAGTTTGCACAATACACCTGTGTGTGACTGTAAATGTCTCTGAGTTTTGTTACTGTTCTGTGCCCATCATCCGCTATGACGTTTATTTTCACCACAAGATCTGTTAAGTGTGAGACTAAGTGCTTGCAATGTCTTAGCCAAGCATTCACATCTGTGTTTGCATGCTTGCATAAAATATGTTTCTGGTTTTAAGAAGAAATGCATCAATTTGATCATGTGCATCTCTCCAAATACTCACAGATCTTTAACAAGTCACGCTTCTCATGGTAAACAAAAAGTGCTTGTATAGAGGACATTTTCCAACCACCCTGTCGCTCTGTAAAATCAAAATAAAATCAATTTCACTCAGATATTTCGAAGATCCATTTCTTTTACACAAGCATTTCACCATCATTAGATCATACCGCTTGAGTTGGCCATTTGACTGGCAGAAAGCAAGAAGAGGAAACCTCTGTCCTTCACCATATTCACCAGCACCTGCAGTGAAGAGACAATCAGCTCATGTGCACACAGCTGCACAAACATTAATCAGGACTGATGCTCACCAGACCCTCCTCCTCCAGTTTCTGCAGCAATGCGGTCAAGCTCTTTGGAGAAGCTTTGTCTTTCTCCACCACGTCAAACAGACTGCAGAACATGCCACTTTTAGACACTACAGTAACAAACCAGAGCCATTATTTACATCACATCATCCTTCTCTATAAGCACAGTCAATGCTGCACTGACATCCCTACATTAATATGCAAAACAACGACAAAAATCAAAACGCATAAACCTACACATCACAATATACAATACTGTATTGGTCCGACACAGTAGTATAAATCAGTCTTAAATATCCCTCATTCGGAGTAGTTGCTGACCGATATATTTTCAGACTAATGGCGCTTTTCCACTGCATGGTAAGGCACGGTACGGCTCGGTACGGTTCACTTTAGGGGGGTTTTCCACTTGGTACAGTACCTGTACCTGGTACTTTTTTTAGTACCACTTCGGTTGGGGTTCCAAGTGAACCGTACCGTTACCAAAACATGACGTGTAAACTCTGCTGGTCACGGATTGGCCGGAGAGAATCGTCACTACCTGCGTCACTGAACTTGCGACACAAACACAAAAGAACCGCTAGATTTAAATCAGCACAGCCAGCAAAGGATCGAACGCAACTGTTTTGAACGAGCGCACCTTTTTTAACAACCAAAAAGTTGTGTTGTCTGTTGCGGAAGTACAGACGTTCCTCTCGTTGATAGCAGAGGAGCGGATCCAGCGAGAGCTTGATGGGGCGATGCGGAATGAAAAGTTTTTTTTTAGTCGTGGTAGTAGAGGCGGCGCAACTATAACGACATGTGAATAATCCCGCCCACTCTAAAGCGGTACTGAACTGCAGTGGAAACGCAAACCGTGCCGAGCCGAACCGTGCAGTGCCGTACTGAGCCGTACCGAGCCGAGTCGTACCACGCAGTGGAAAAGCGCCATAACATGAGCCCTCATTCTTCATCTTTTATAGTTTGTGGCACGATATTCAAAGACTTGTTTAAAATGCATATTTGCTGACAGAGCTGGGTAGATTACTTACAAATTGTAGTTCATTACTGATTTCAAATTACATGACACAAATTAGTTTAGTAATTATGTTAGTTTGTAACATAATCCATTACATTACACATTTTAGGTTAGTATAACTGGACTACTTTTAGATTACTTTTGACCCAACTCGTTTATCAGATAGATTTCAATAGGATACACTTCTACCATATTGATATAAAAATACAAAGAGTAAGAAAATATATTCCATTCGTTATCATTAACAACATTAAGTGCATTAAACATTACATTACGTCAAGGTTTCCTAAACTGGGGTTCATGAAGGAACTGCAGGGTGTTTGAGAGTTTAAGCTAATAATTAATGAACTCATAAAAATGTAAAATTAAAATAAATCGTTTGAAAATAATCAAAATAAAGCACTAAAAAATGAAATATTTTATTTGTTTACCTGCATGTCATGTGTCCATTAAGCAACATCAGAGAACCGTGAACATTCAAAAGCGATACTTTATTATGAAAATATTTATTTTAAAGGTCCCATGGCATGAAAATGTCACTTTATGAGGTTTTTTAACATTAATATGAGTTCCCCTAGTCTGCCTATGGTCTCCCAGTGGCCAGAAATGGCGATAGGTGTAAACCGAGCCCTGGGTATCCTGCTTTGCATTTGAGAAAATGAAAGCTCAGATGGCCCAATCTGTAATCTTCCCTTTATGTTGTCATACGGGGAAAGGTTACCTCCCCTTTCTCTGCTTTGCCCGCCCAGAGAATTTGGCCCGCCCATGAGAAAATGAGCTACTACCGTGCGAGGTGAGCGCAATATTTTTTTTTCCTCGAGAGACATCATGGCTTGCAAACGAGCGAAGCATGGCAGTTGCCCCGCCTCTCTCCTCCTCATTAGCATTTAAAGCTACAGACACAGAAATGGCACGTCCTAAGGAAAGCTCATTGTGGGACTGGCTCGTAGTGGCTGAAATTCTGCACCAAGGCTGAATTTCGGGAAAGAGACTTCAGATACAGTACTAGGGACCACTTAGGCCTATATAAAAGCATCCAAAAAGCAGCATATCATGGGACCTTTAAGTAGGTCAAGTGCAAAATGATGAACACCTGTGACCTGTGACACAACAGAGACCGAGAGACCCAAGGTACTGGATTTGTGCAGTTGACATTGTGTGAATGCGCAGAGAGTGCGACTTTTGATTGTTAGAATTTTGAGTTATTGAATAAAGCTACACGAGATTCCAAAACGTCAACCATGGTCACTTCCTTCCTTGCATTGAACTTTTGTTACAACATCGTTGACGCGTCGGTGTCTATTAAATTATTCATGAGACTGCGTGTTCTTATCCTATGAGAAGATGCTTCGCTTAATTATTCACAACAGCATGTGTTGATTTGCTATGACAAACGCTTCAGATTGTGAGATCGCGCACATTAACTGAGAGAAACGTTCATGGATTGAAGAAGAGTGTTTGTTTTTGCTTTGTAATAAGAGTTCGGCACAAACGCGAGCACTTGGTGAGCATAACCGTTTTTACAGCTCTGTGACACAACCTGTCAAAAGGCTTATATAAATTAGGGCTGTCGCGATTTGTCGATTTTATTAGACTATTCCATTTTTTTAAATCCTCGACTTCATTTTGATCGCGTCGACTAACCAGCAAAATACCGCAAGTGGCGCATTTCACAGACGAGAATGTATAAAACACATTATTAGTCTGTTTTCCAAGGCTGCATGATATATTAAACCCATTTAAAAATCATAATTAAGCATAATTGCAATGCTACGATTTAATTAATTATATGCGATGCAGTTCTAATACAGTATATGCGCTTTAATTATTTACATGCGTGTAGGTTAAGTACATGCGTCACACAGCGGCTCCGTTCACAGTAGTTCCACAGGAACTGTTATCATTTACATGTGTGGAGCGTCTCAAACTCCATCTCTGCATGTTGTTGTGAGTTTGGGTTTATTATAACGTTCTAGTGGCTGAAATTCTGCACCAAGGCTGAATTTCGGGAAAGAGACTTCAGATACAGTACTAGGGACCACTTAGGCCTATATAAAAGCATCCAAAAAGCAGCATGTCATGGGACCTTTAAAATCTCAAGGGTACTTCAAGAAAATATATTAGGTGAAAGAGGTTCAGATGACAAAAGTTTGCGAATGCCTGCATTACATGTAAATAAGATATAGCATGACTTTGTGCATTTTAATGTGTTTGAAAGACAATTACACAGTAAGCTTCCCAATTACACAGTAATTCATGGTTAATAACCAACTGAGTGATAATTCAAATAAAAATTAATATGATCAGCACTGATGCAACATTGAAACACTTATAAACCTGAAATGATTTTTGTAAATCCAGTGGTCAAACGCTGACTAACTAAAACCTGAAGACTTTCTGAATGTATATTAGCGGTAGGCTATTTTAGAAAGGAACATTTAAAAGATAAAAAAGAAGAATTGAGGAAAATCAATAAATTATGAATAATCCATTGCTATTGTGTGAATGATATATAATCATGTAATCAATAAAAAGGTACCTGAAGTCTGATTACCAGTATTTTTATAATGTAATTTAATCTAATTACAAGTACTTAATTTCTGGAATCCGATTACATGTAAACAGTTTCTACCCAGCTCTGTTTGCTGAATGCCTGTTAATTATTAGATATCATTTTACTGCAAAACAAATTCACCTGCGGGTATAAATAAAGTAACCTAACCCTTAATCAAAGAGTAAACTAATGATGATAAATGAAGAATGGGAGCTGTGTGTCTGCATCTCAGCTCTATCAAAATAAAAGTCCCGCTTACAACACTTAGCAGCCAAACAGAAAAACTTATCGTCCCATGCTGATCATAAAAAAAAAAGAAAAAAAAAAAAAAGGCAAATATCGGTTGAGAATATCGGCTCTGATATATATCGGTCGTCCACTACTTGGAATGTGGATGATTACAGCATTGGCTGTTAAACTAGTGGTCAAACCTTCATGGCTGCCTGTGTAGAGGCTCCAGGAGAAGAGGGCAGATGGGATCTTCTGCTTGACCTGCTGCAAGCTCATGACTTTACCCATCTCAATCTTCTCTGGCCTGAAACAACAACACTCATGGCTCATCATCACATGCCCAGTGTCACTTAACACACACTGCTGTGGTCCATGACACTCACAGTTTGTAGGGCAGGAAAGGTAGAGAGAGCGAGCGAAGGCTGGCCTGGTATACATCTTTCCCCCCGTTCAAAAAATGTCCCCGCCATACCGTGAAACAGCGCCTGCCTATCACAACAACGAAAGCAAAGGAAGAGTTCACTCAGAGATTTAAATTCTGTCAGAGATATTTGACCTCATGTCCTTCCAAACCAGCATTCTGTTATTTTTAAGGAGAATTTGAAGAATTGTTTTCAATACAATGAGAGTTCACTGCGATCATGGCTCCACAAAGGACTACTAGGAACTACTTTATGGTGCTTTTAAACACTTGCCAGACAATATAAGCTGCCGCAGTATAGAAAAGAGATCTGACGATTCTTTCCAAAAATGCTTTTGTGCACCACAGAAAACACTGGTGAGCTGTTCCTTTCATAACCAAAAAAATGCTGTTTTACTGAATAAAGTTATGCCCACCTTTGCTCATCCCTGATGGCTGGCTGTTGGACCTGAGGAACATAGACAAATGTAATAAAATCAATTTTAATGGAAGAGTTTTGTGAGTCACGTGACAGAGTGAAGGAGAGCAGTCAGATACCTGAGAGGAGGCAGCGGTTTGGGGGCCACAGTTGAAGACTCTTTGCCTTTAAAGTAAAAAGAGACCACCGCATACGGACACGCGTGTCTCGGCCTGGACGAAACCTCGAAATCCACATACTCGTAGAAGTATTGCTGTGAAGAAAGACCCTTCAGCCATCTCACAGGAAACACATGTTCATTTGATCAAATGTTTTTATTCATAGAGAGTTGTTTTACTTTGGTTTATTTGAATGACTTATTTTACCTGAGTGTACTCGAATGCCCTGTACGACTGTAAGGATGTCACTCTGGTTGAGTTCTTGGAGAAGTGGCTTTCAAATTTAGGTGTAGGATCCATACTTATGGACATACAGTCATGTACACTCTTCACTTTACCCTGTGGGGCAAAAGACCGGACATTTCTCAGACTCAACGACACTGATGTTTCACATGAAAACAACATCACTCAAGCTGCTGCTGTACCTTTATAACTTTAAATATGATGATGTTTCCTGTAGACCCAGGCTCGATGGGGCCGATTTGAAGTAAATCAGAAAACTGACACAGGTAAACTCCTGCAACATCAACATAATCAGCATTCACTGGATGCACTACACTACATCTCTCTTTCAAAAAATAAAAATAAAGTTCAATTATTTTATTATCCTCTTTATTTTTTTCCTTTGGGAGGCACACACACAACCAGTCCGTTCCTTAAAAATGACTTCTCATGTTATTATCATACTTCAAAGCTTTCCTAATATTGAAAGCAAAAACCAATCATAAAGAATATATGTAGACGTAATATCCTCGTACAATGGAGAGGCTGGAACGTGTTCAATGATTAATTAAACAGTGAGCTCTACATAGCTCTGAAACTCAAACAATAAATGCGTTTTGACGCTGTTTGATGTGGCGTGACTGATCGCTGTGCAGGCGCCTCAGTTCATTTCTTTACTACTAGTTACAGCACGAAATAAACATCTCATGTAATCACTCAATCAGTGTTTCAACCATGGAAAGATGACAATAATACATCTTTTTAAACAATATGCCATGTAACGTTAGATTGACCTTAGGAAGGCCAAAACTCATCAGTCAGCTAGGAAAAAAAAAAAAAAAACTCTAGAGAGGAACATTTTGCCGAATATATGCACTATATTACATATTCATTATATTTTTACTCAACCTGTTGTCTTCATTATTTACAAAATGTTTGAAAAAATTGTCCATTAAAAGAACATTTTTATTTACACCTAGCATTTAAACGTTTACATTTCAACATCAATAAGTATTCATTTTATGAGAAGTTTATAATTATAAAGTTGATATAAAAACTGCCTTCTGTGCAAACTAAATGTTTGGTTTTTGGATATATTTTTAGTTTTGGCTAAATGAAAACTTTAATTTTGGTGTTTTGGTAAAATTATATATATGTATATATATATATATATCAATCATGGCTTTAGTGCTTTTAGATCTTAGTTCAGCATTTGATTTTGTCGACCACGGTATCCTGTTGTCTCGGCTGGAGCATTGCATTGGTACTAGACCACTGTACTTAACTGGTTTTGATCTTCAGAAGATTTTCAGTCAGCATTGGCAAGTACTCCTCTTCTGTAGCGAATTCTACATGTGGTGTTCCCCAGGGATCAACCATGGCACCGCTACTGTTTTCACTGTATATGTTACCCATGGGATCTATATTTAGGAGATTTGGAGTATCGTATCATTGCTATGCTGACGATACTCAGCTGATAGCTGTAATTCTGCTGTAATTTAATTAACTGCCTGTCTCCTTGAATTTAAAACGTGGCTTACAAATAACTTTCTACATCAAAATAATGATAAAACAAGTTGTATTGTTTGGATCAAATGGAAAAACTGACCTGAGCTCAGTTGATTTGGGCTCTCTTACCCCATATCAAGTCCACAATGCTAAAAATCTGGGTTTTATACTTGACTGCAAACTAAAGCTAGATAAACAAATTAATGCCACTGTGAGCTTAGATTAGCAAAGGTTAAACCCCTCCTAAGTAGGAAGAGTTTTGAGACTGTAATACATGCTTTCATCTCTTCGCGACTCGATTACTGTAACTCGCTTTACTATGGCTTGCTGGTCTCATCGATACATCGACTTCAGTTGGTTTGCTCACGGGCAGTCACAAATGGGTTCATATTACACCGATCGTACGCTCGTTGCACTGGTTACCGTTGCAGTTAGGGCTGGGTATCGTTCAAAAATGTTCGATATCGATACCTTGACTTCGATACCAGTTCCTGAACGATACTTTTTTCGATACCAATTTTATGAAATCAATTTTAACAAGATTACATTATCAAAAAAAAAATAAATTTTTTCAGCTTGTTGATGTTTATACAAACTCAAAAACTCATCTCCTGAGCCACTGCACAAAGGAACAAAATGTAACCAACACAATAAATCAGTGCAAATAGTTTTAATAAAGCTCAAATAGTCTTCAGTTTACACATCTGTTAGGCTACATTTACACTAGTGCGCGTTCGTTTTAAAACTCATAGCTCAGACAGAATCATGATTTCTATTTACACTGAACAAAATTATAAACGCTGCGCCACATCTCTGAGTGTAACCGGTGTAAACTAGTAGGTGTGTTCTGACCGACTGTGCAGACCGAACGGTGTATTACAGTACCACGAGAGCTAAAGAGAGCAGACTGCTCCGAATCGCGCTTTCGAATCGCTCTCGTGGATGTCAAACACTGATCGATCTGCGCCGCACCTCTTCTAGTCGAACACACCGCCTAGTGCTGCAGGCTCATTGGCTCACTGACGCTGATGAGATTAACCCCTTAGGTATCGAAATTTGGTACCGAGCGACGAGACGTTTTTCGATACTCGATGGTATCGAGGCATTTCGGTCGGTGCCTAAAAGTATCGATCGAACTCGATACCCAGCCCTAGTTGCAGTACCGTATTGAGTTTAAAATTTTGCTTTGCGAGTACAAAGCTGTAAAACTGTCTTGCTTCTCAATATCTTTCGGAGTTGATTACTGTACACAATCCTGTCAGATCACTCAGATCACAGAATACACATATGTTGCGGGTTCCCAGAACTAGACTAAAATGTAGGGGAGATAGAGCCTTCTCTGTTGCGGGTCCCAAACTGTGGAACACTCTGCCACTATCTATTAGAACTGCTTCTACAGTGTCCGAATCATTTAATCTGTTAAAACTCTTTTTTCTCCTGTGCGTTTAATGAAATGTGATTGGGTTATTTTAAGGTTATGGTACTGTTGTGATTAAGTCTATGTAATATCAATGCTTCAATTAGGTCTGTGCGTTTTTTAAATGTTGTAATTAGGTTTACGCTTTATGTACAGCACTTTGGCCAACTAAAGTTGTTTTAAATGTGCTTTATAAAGAAATTGAACATTGAACATACAAATACATACATATATTTATATATATATTATTTTGGTGCCTCACAAATTAAAATACTTTTTGTATTTTTATTTTACTTTTTTTTTTTAAATTAACTATCTGAAAATAAAGAAATATTAATCTAATAATAGTTTTATACAGTAAAATAAAAATAAATTAATAATAATAATAATAGCATAATTATAATACTAATATTTATTTGTGTGTTAATTTTATTGCTTTCAATTGTTAAACAATAGGACTTTTATTCTGGTGAAAAACTGCAGGGAGACCTTACAGCTTCTCATTTGTTGACAACAGATTTATAAACAATTCAGTATTACAAATTTGGGAATATGGTTGGCGCATGTTGTATTTCTAAACGCATGTTAATGCATTGCATACCAAGAACTGATTTTGACAACTCAAAAAGTATAGCTCTTATTTAATTTCCTGTGACTCCTAGCAGAATATGACAGACCAAAACTCAAGAATCAGTGTGATGAAGTGTGTGTGTGTTGTGAAGGTTATTTCACCTTTAGATGGATTCCCCAACATACTGATCCAGCTGCTGCCAACAGACAGTCCTCTCTCACACACCACCGAGACCTACAACCAGCACACAACACACACACACACACACGCAAACACAAGAGAGAGACCACATCAGAAAGTGACCCGAAGAATGACAAATGATCATCTGTTTAGCTGAACGTCACTGCGTGATACTCTGAATGCACTGAACTAATGAATGGCTGAACAAAAGCAGTTGTTTACCTTTTGAGCATCACAAAGCAGGAAGCAGAAAGTCTCAGACAGCTCTTTCTCAGTGCGCCCATCCTGCTTGAGCTCCCTTCGCTTCTCCATGAACTGCACATTCAAAACATCACAAGATTACTTTTGTACTTGACGCACAAAGATCGATCTCAAATATCCAAAGCTGAAAGTATCATTGTTCAAAATCTGTCTCATAACCACAGACATGTAACTCCACACACCCTCACACACAATACAGGCACACAACATTAAAGCCACGCTTGAATCTCAGTTGACCACATAAAAAATAATTATTCAGAAGGATTTAAGGACGAGACTACATGGATTTGAGCAGACAACAGTCTGACAGGACACACTGGGATGATGAAGTGAATATAATTAGTTACTGTTCTCTAAATAAACAGTGCAATGTGTTATGGTGTCTATGCACTTGGTCAGCAGATGTTTTATTTATCTAAATACATATTTATATTTAACTTTACATTTACATTTAGTCATTTAGCAGACGCTTTTATCCAAAATGCACTTGGATGTTTTATTTATCTAAATACATATTTATATTTAACTTTACATTTACATTTAGTCATTTATCATTTAG